ACCGCCCCCCAGCTGGCCCCCCAGCACTGTGAGTATGGAGTCTGGGGGGGGGCAGGCATCCTCTTTGCAGAAGGGGGTGGAGCTGAGCATTGGGGGGCTTGTAAGCTGGGGTCACTGGTTGGGGGTGGGGAGCCCCAGTCCTGGAGGTCTTGGAACTGGGAGTCCCCTCCTCCATCTGATCCCCCACTGCTCTGCCCCCCCCAGTCCCAGAGCTGAACATCCTGAACAAACAGTCGCTGAAGATTCACATCGTGGAGACGGGCAAGGAGTTCCACATGGCCCCACTCTTCTGGGTGCGCAGGGTCTGGAGGGCAGGGTGCTGACAGATGTGGGAGGTGGGGGCTGCTATGGCTGGAGGATGCAGACAGGGGTAGTAGCCATGAGGCAGGACTGGCTTTTCTGAGGCACAAGTGGGTCTGGTTGGGGAGGTGCCCAGGCACCATATGTATGTGAGGCGGGCAGCTTGGGGTCAGGCCCCACTTCATGACCCCCTGCCCATTGTGCCCGCAGGAGCTGTCGGTGCTGCTGCCCCATGTGGCACTGGAGCTGCTGTTCATAGGGGGCGTGCTGCCCCCCGAGGCCGACGGCCAGCAGGTGCTGCTACAGAGAACGGTGAGGGGGGCGAGGGTGTGTGAGGAAGGGAGCCCCAAGCCTCCCCCCTCAGCTGATCCCCCATCTCCTGTCCGCAGGAGACGCAGGAGGTGCGCGTCTGGCCCGGCCCAGCCCCCAAGGCCAAGGGGGGACGTGGGGGCCTGCAACTGAAATTCTGTGTCCAACCCAGCCCTCTGCTACAGAGCCCGAAGCCTGACCTGGTCATCGGTGAGTCCCTGGGGAACTTGGGGGCTGCCAAAGGGATCCTGGGAGGCTGGCCAGGGGGGCCTGGGTGCTGCCAGGGGAATCCTAGGGGGCTGGCTGGGGGGAGGAGCATAAACCCACAGAGGCCCTGGGTCTTGTCTGGGTAGGCTGGCTGGAGGAGCTAGGAGCTCCCTGGGGGGAGGGCACAGGTTGGCGGGGTCCCAGAGGACTGTCTAGAGTGGTTGTGGGGAACCTTAGGCTTGGGGGCCAGTTGCTGTCCCTGGCTTGCCTGGATCTGGCCCATGAGGCTTGGGACTCATGCTGGTGAAGTGCGGGGGGTGGGTTTGTTTCTCACTTGTGTACAGCCCCTGACTGATTTTTCTGTAGGTCAGTGGCCCCCGACCCAAAAAAGGTTCCCCACCCTGGACTAGGGGAAAGGGCCCAGGTCTAGGAGAGCAGTGGGGAGCTGCCTGGGGGCAAGGGACTAGGCAAAGGGGCATCCTGGAGGGCTACGTACGGGGAGGGGCCCTGTCCAGGGAGGATGCTGAGGGCTGCCTGGAAAGGAAATGGGGCAGTCCAAGGGGAAACATGAGGAGATCCCCACTGCATGGGGTGGCAGTCTGGAGCTGGGGTCCAGAGCAGGGGAGGGCTGTCATTGTGGGAAGGGGCTCCCCAAGGGAGGAGGGGGTGCCCCAGGGGAACAGTGGAAGGTGTCCCTGTTTGTGGCTGAACCCAGCCCCCTTTTATTTCTCAGGGTTCAACTCTGGCTTTGCCCTGAAGGACACCTGGCTCAGCGTCCTTCCCCGCCTGCAGGTGGGTGCCCATGTTGCCCAGAACCTGGCCTCTGCCTGCAACGCCCTACTCTGAACCCCTAAACTGCCCCCTGCTGCCTCAAATGTCTCCCTTCTTGCTGTACTCCAAACTCCCTCCCCCCTCTGCACCCCAAATTCCCTTCTGCTGCCCCCCAGATCTCTGGGTCCCTCGCATGTGTGCTTCTACCACTCTGTGAAACACCTGTCTTCCAGGCAGCTCTTGGCCCAAATGCCTGGATCCTCAGCAGCTCAGGGCCCGGACACCTGGGTCCCGGCGGCTCTGGGCCCGTACACCTCAGTCCCCGGTGGCTCTGGGCCCGGACCCCTCAGTCCCCGGCCTCTGGGCCCGGTCACCTGGGTCCCGGTGGCTCTGGGCCCGGACCCCTCAGTCCCCGGCCTCTGGGCCCGGTCACCTGGGTCCCGGTGGCTCTGGGCCCGGACACCTCAGTCCCCGGTGGCTCTGGGCCCAGACACCTGAGTCCTGGTGGCTCAGGGCCCGGTCACCTGAGTCCCGGCGGCTCTGGGCCCGGATACCTCAGTCCCCGGCCTCTGGGCCCGGACACCTGAGTCCCGGTGGCTCTGGGCCCGGACACCTGAGTCCCGGTGGCTCTGGGCCCGGACACTTGGGTCCCTAGTTGCTCTTGGCCTGGACGCCTGGGTCCCTGGTGGCTCTGGATCCAGACACCTAAGTCCCCATCTCTCCGTCTCTCCTGCAGGCCCTCCGGGTCCCAGCCTACTTCACAGAGTGCAGCGAGTACAGCTGCGCAGTGGACGAGGCCACAGTCTCGATGGCGACGGGAGGCAGTGCCAGCCCAGCCCACATCAACCCGTTCCGCTCACCCTTCCGCCAGGCCGGCATCGACAATGCCATGCCCTGGTGGGAGCTGGTGCTAGGCAGGGGCTGAAGAGGGAGCTGGGACAGGGGGACCAGGCTTGTGCGGTTGAGTTGGGGGCTGGGCATGGGTGTGGGGGGGCTTGGGCAGGGGGGCTGGGCACAGGGTTGCAGGGCCTGGGGGGGCTGTGAAGTGGAGGTGGGCAGGCTGAGCATGACGGTCTAGGCAGGAGGAGTCTAGGCAGGGCAAACTGGGCATGAATTTGATCTCTGACCGGCTCCTTAGCATGACCTCTGGGCTGATGCAGCCTTGTGCTAGCTGGTGATGTCTGACCCACGCTGCCCCTTGTATTTGGGTGGCTTCTGACCTCGGGAAGAGTGCCCCTCTTATGTGTTAGCATGACCTTTGACCCCATCACATGTTGGGTGACTCCTCACCCATTCTCACTACAGTGACCTCTCACCCCAGATTTGACCCTGTCCTTTGTCTGACCAGAATGACATTTGACCCACATCTTTCTCCATTGGTGTGACTTCTGACCCCTGTGTTGCTGCCCTGTTGCAATGGCCTTCTGCCCTTCTTTATGACCTTTGACCTATTGACCCCCCATCACTTTATTTTTCCCCTCTCTGACTCCTGAGCCATGGTGCCTGCCAATGCCTTTGACCTTTGACCCCTGTAGCATGGACCCCACTGCAATGACTCATGACCCCCATCACATTGCAACATCTTTTGATCCTGTAACCCCGTGGTCACCAACCAGTAGATCGCGATCTACCGGTAGATCTTGGAGGCTCTAAGAGTAGCTCTTGAGCCCTCTCTGAATTGCACACCTGCGCAGTACATTTACATTAGATTTCCTCATTTGAGGAGCAGCTACTCACCGAGCAACAGCACAGGTGAGTAGCTGCGAGGAATGATGGGAATTTTTTTTTAAAGTAGCAGTATAAGGATTGGGGATAGCAAGTGATGGAGAGGAGGAGAATAGAGGGCGGGGCTTCAAGGAAGGGGCAGGGCGGTAGATCTTGGCTTGGTCTGTCATTTAAAAAGTGATCTTGGGTGTAAAAAGGTTGGAGACCACTGCTGTAACCCTTCTTTTATTTGTTCCCGGGATGAGATAGGACCTAGTGACACTAATGACCTCTGACATCAAGTCAATTGACATTAAGTCAAATGACCTCTGACCCTTTGCCTAGGTACTGTAAATAGCCTCTTGCCTCTTAGCCCAATAAGCTGTAGCCCCAGGTATATTGTTTCTGATGACCCCTGATCTCATCTCTGCTCTGGTGATCTTTGAGCTCAGACTACCTGTCCCCTGACCTCCCGTAGCCATGACCTCTGACCCCTGCTGCCCGTCTTTGCCCTATTTCCATGCCTCTGATCCCTCCCCAGGTACTCCAACGCCTTCATCTTCCACCTGCTGTACAAGAGAGGGGCTGGGGGTGCACGGCGGCCCCCAGGGCCAGCCCCTCCCCCAGCTCCCAGCCTTGCCTCCCAGGGGCCAGAACCCAGCCCAGCTCGTGCCCACCGGAAGGAGAAACGGCAGAATCGTGGCGGCCGCCGGCGCAAATAATAAACCTGCCCCAGCGAATGGAGCCTGCGCCTCATTACTGTGCAAACTCAGGGTCCCCCTGCAGATGTTCCCATCCTGCCTCCACATCTGGTCCCGCCAGCTAGGCTGGCACTGACATCACCCGCCCCTGCTGAGCCCAGTGCCACGCCCCCAAGGCCAAGCCAGGACTCTCTACCTGGCACCGGAGATAGGCGGAGACATCGCATCCACACCAGCCCTTTGCCCAGCTTATCACAGAGCAAACATCCTGGGCCAAGCAGATACAGCTGGAAACCCAATTCCAGGCAGCAGCTCCCCCCAGCTACTCCCTGCTCTAGGTAGCAGCTCCCCTCAGCTCTGGATCACGGCTCCCCGCAGCTCCAGGTAGCGGCTCTGCCCAGCTCCAGGCAGCAGCTCCCCCAAGCTCCAGGTAGCGGCTCCCCCCAGATCCCTCCAGCTCTAGGTAGCAACTCCCCCAAGATCCCTCTGGCCCCAGGCAGCAGCTCCCCCCCAGTCTCTGGGTAGCAGCTCCAGGCCTTCCTGTCTGCACGATGTGCACGGGGTGCTGCTCACGGCTGGTGGGGCTGTCGCTAGTGCCCATGGCCCTGGCCTGCATCGTGGCCAATGTGCTTCTCATGTTTCCCAATGGGGAGACCAGATGGACTGACCACATCACCCTTCAGGTCTGGCTGATGGGCGGCCTCTGCGGCGGGGGACTCATGGTGAGTGGGGCAGCATGGGGGAAGACTCCTGAGCCAGAGCAACCCCGTCTGTCCTTCCTTCTGTGCCACATCCCCTATGCTTCTCTCTGTGCCGTGTCTCTCTCTGCACGTCACCCATCTGTCTGTGCTTCCCTGTCATGTCATCCCATCTGCCTGGCCTTTCATATCATGTCCCCCATCCGTCCATCCCTTTCTGCCACATCCCCTGTCTGTCCCTCTGTAACATGCTCCCCTCTCTCCATCTGCCCATCCCTCCCCACCTCCCCCATCTCTCTGCCCTCTTCCCTGGCTCCTGTGGGCATGTGGGGAGGGGGGAGAGGGATGATGGGGTGAGGAGGGGGGTGGCTCTGGGGGGATGCTGCTGGATTCACGAGGATACAGCCCTGGCCAGTAGCCTTGTGTAACAAGGGGGAACCTCGGGGCATTGCTGAGAGGGTCAAATCAGACTGAATTGCTTAGACATTGGATTACTTGCAACCCAAAACTGGGGATCCCCCAATCTAAGGCACCAAACTAGCCACACAGAGCACTTCTGTTCAGCACACTGGCCAGCAAGGAGCCACATAAGCAATTCCTCCAGATACTCCCATTCTCCTGTGCAACAGCCAGCACCGCTCCTCACACAGGTGAGAGATTCTGAAAACCCATCTCACCAGCTCCAAACAGGTTCTTCCGACCCCAATGGACCAGCCACATCCTGGGTCAATTTATATGTCAGCTCCCCCCAAAGGAGCAGGCTGCGTTGATCCTTTGGATTCTAACCGCTAAAGGTTTATTCATAACCAGAAACTAAGGGTGAGAGAGAAAGTTGTTAAAGGGATCAAATCCACACACCAATTGCAGAGTTCTTGGTGTAGGTTTGCAGCAGAGATGATAAATATTGGCTTCTCTCTAGTCTCTGGAGCACATCTGCAGCTTAGATGCTGTGAAGATAGTGGATTGTGAAATGAACATACAAATCATTGTTGCAGCCACTGTTTTATGTTTGCACCAAACCTTGTACCAAGTGGGCCATGTGAGGTGTCTGTTGAAAGGTGAGTCACTGAATCTGTTTATACTATTTGTAGGCATGTCATTGCTGTATTTGAACCTGTGAGTCTTGGCTCTGTACACATATTGCGAATATTTGCTTCTGGGAGACACCAGCATGAAGTTGGACCAGCCTATTGTGAAAAGGCTACTAGTTCAGTGAAGTATTTGGCTGTCAATGGGCCTACAGCTGATGAACTCCTCTGTGAATATTCAGACCAGCATGTGAGCGATGGCTGCATGCAGGCATGAACAGTGACCGGCTCGTGTGACAAACTCCATCTTGCAGCATACTTTCATGCAGCATGAACAATTGGAGTCCATGCACACGGGCAAGGGTATTGAGCTAATCATTTATGAAGGATCTTTGCTATGAAGTGAAACCTGAAAGGATTTGGTGATGTGCTTGTATTGCAAATATCTGAGACCTTTTTTAAGACAGCGGTTTCTTCTTTCATTGCTACAAGCCTGCACCAAGAACTGTGCAATTGGTGTGTGTATTTTATCCCTTTAATAATTTCAATTTTCTTTCTTTCTTTCTTTCTTTCTTTCACAAACCTGTAGATTTTAGATTCTAATGATTTGGCACAGCTTGCTCTTTGGGTAAGATCTGAGATATAAATTGACTTGGGACTCTGGCCAGTCCTTTGGGATCTTTTTCATTTGGTGAGTTTGATTTGTTTTTCATAACCTCTGTCATGTAGGAGGTTTCTGGGGGCACCACCGAGAGGGTTAAATCAGGGTAACTTGCTTAAAGACAGGGCTACTTATAGCCCAAGACTGGGAGTCCTCCACTCTATGGCACCAAACAAGTCACAAAGGGCACTTCTGTCTGCCACACTGGCCAGCAAGAAGTCACACAAGGAACCCCCGTAGACATCCAGCTTCTCCTGTGCCACAGCCAGCACCTCTCCTTACTCAGATCAGAGGTTATGAAAACCCATCTCATCTGAGGATGTGGCTGGTGGACAAGAAACCAGAGGATCTGCCCAGCACAGGGCAGCTGGTGGATGAGTTTACAGACAGCCGGTCTGGAATCCCAGAGGCACCAGCTCACAAGAATGCCAAGCTACATCTGATGCCCTGCTGCAGAGAGAGGAGTCTGAACTTCCCCAGGTTAAAGTGATTCAGCTCAGTTTGGTCTTGAAGGGGGGAGAGATGTGATGAAGTGGTGTTGGGGGGATTTCATGCCCTTTGTTATGTTGCTGTCCTGTAGTAACCCCATGGGTGTGCCTCAGTTTCCCTGGGCACTGCACCAGTACCTAGATGGGGATTGGAATTTCGGTGTGATAGCCTCCCCCATGTACACAATGCCTGTTGCTTTCTGCAACCTGGGGTGTGTGACCAAATGACACCTTTTGCCCAGGATATAGGACAAAAGCCAGAGGCAGGGCTGGGACAGGCTGCTGAGTGTGTGAGTGAGTCTTGGCTGGCTTGGAGTGTAGGGAGGGGGCATTGATCCCCCTCTCCCTCCCAGGATAGATGGTGCTGGCCGCTTCTGGCTCCTGTGCTGACAAGTCTGCTCCACGCTGTGTCCCTGCTGCGTAATAAACCTTCTCTTCTACCTACCAGCTGAGAGTCACATCTGGCTGCGGATGGGGTTGCAGGGCCTGGGAACTCCCCCATACCTCGGAGACTGAATATGAGCAGCATAAACGGAATCAGTAAATCATCAGCTTTCAATAGCTTTCAGCTCACTTTGCTCCTTTGTGTAGATTTGATGCAAACGTAACAGAGTAATGTCATACCCTCTAGTCTGTATAAGGAGTGGTCAGGAGAAGTTGGAGTGTCTAAGGGTATGTCTACACTACCCTCCTAATTCGAACTAGGAGGGTAATGTAGGCATACCGCACTTGCAAATGAAGCCCGGGATTTGAATTTCCCAGGCTTCATTTGCATAAGCCGGGCGCCGCCATTTTTAAAGCCCGGCTAGTTCGACCCCCGTGCCGCGCGGCTACACGCGGCACAGAGTAGCTAGTTCGGATTAGGCTTCTAATCCGAACTAGCTGTACTCCTCGTGGAATGAGGAGTACAGC